GATCCAGCGAGTGGGACAAGACCTGCAGGCCGACCTCCCCCACCCTTAGATGGCAGCCACGGCAAACGGCGGCGTGCGGGCGAAGGAGGCAGCAGCCCGCCTCTTCCTCCATGGAGACGAGGCCGGATGGGATGGCGGCGAGGCTGGCGGATAGGAAGAGGGCGCCGTGTGCACGGAGGAGGAAGCAGCCGCGCCGCATGGTGACGAGGCCGGGCCTCTGGAAACCACCACCTCGCAACCGCTCGAGCATCCACCTCCGGGCCTAGCCGTCCACCACGAACATTGGGCAAAAGAAGTAGAAGGCCATCATCGTGGCAAAATCTGAGTGTGACAAGCGTCCGTGCCAATCTCAACACATAAGAGCAACTTCAACTGGCCGACCCAAAACGGACGGCGTTTTTGTCCGCTTTTTGTCCGTTTGGGTCGGCCGTCCGCCCGCCGTCCGCCCTTTTTTAGTTTTGGGTCGGCAGTGCGCCCAACGGGCTGATCCATTTTCATGACCGCGCATGTTTAACATCGTGCCGTCGCCCTGATTTTGACGCTCCAGCCCATCGGAGGCGGCAGCGTCGCCTCGCCATCGCAGAGAAGGACGTGGAAGCCTTGGTGCTGTGGCGAGGAGGCTACCCGCAGGACATCGTCGACGAGCGCCAGTTCTATAAGCAATTGAGATCGGAGAGGGACGCGAGGAGGAGGGAGCGAGCCGCCTATCGGGAGGACAAGCGTTCGCGGAAGCAGGCAACTCAATTGAAACTGAAGCTACAAGAAACGTTGGGTTGGGACTTTGAAGACGAGCAGCTTGCTGACGCCTACCTTCAAACGTCAGAGGAGGACATTACCGAGTCGGAGTCAGAAAGCGACGAGTAGTGGTCTTTTTTTTATCTGTGTACACTAGAACTATCTATGTATCCATTTTAATTTGAAAAAATGGTCGGCGGCATCGGCGATGTAGCAGGCGGGCGATTGTGTGAATCCAATGTGCCATCGACCAGCGGGCCCGGTGAGGAAAGAGGGCGAGCGCGCGCGCGTCCGTCTTGTGTCCGCGCCGACGCAAATCAGCCTAAAAAATGGGCCGGAAATGGGTCGGCAGGCGGATGAAAGCGGACGCGCGTCCGTTTGGGTCGGCGCGTTGGGCCGATCTTTTTGTCTGCGCCGACCCAAACGAACGCCCGGACGAAATGAGTCGTCCCATTGGAGTTGCTCTAATGTCACGATACATCTGTGGACATGGAACAAACATAAAGACTAATCCGTGAACACGGACCAAACACCACATATAAGGTCTTGTTTGGTTTCAAATAAGTCACCAACTTGGAAGTCGAAAAGTGCAAAAAGTGACTTATTTTGTCAAACAGATCTAACTTATAAGTCATCCCAATTTATAAGTCATAAGTTGCTCCACTCCAACTTAAAACTTATAAGTCATCCCCTTTTGCATGGGTCCCACCACATTTACATTAAAAAACAAAATGGGAAGGTGTGCTCAGGTGACTTATAAGTCATGTGACAACCAAACAGGCATGACTTATAAGTCATTGGTTTTAAGTCACCTGACTTATAAGTCAGGTGACTTATTGAAACCAAACAGGCCCTTAATGATTAGTTTGGTCTGTGTCCACGGATTAGTTTGGTCCGAGTCGACAACCATCCATTCTATAATATACAAGGTCACAAACTCAGGTACTGATATAACAACATAAAATTTAATGCATGCTTTGCAAACTATATATGCAGGTATTAAATAAGTTGATATTATGAGAAAACATAAACTAATTTATTATTAATTTTTGATTTAATTATTGTTGGTGGCCTTGTACTCCCTCTGTCACAGTTTAGAAGGCACATTTAAATTTGCGTGCGTTTCACAATAGACAAGGTTTAGGGCGCATTGTATTTATTTCTAGTAGCTAATTAGTACTCCGATATATTTTTTCTATATGCATAGTGTGAATGCTATTTTTTAGCCCATTTCACAACCAATAGATAACCACCTAGGTTCAAGAGAATTTCCAAACGCGCCTTCTAAACCGTGACGGAGGGAGTATGAATGTGTAATGTACTATCAAACTGTGACCATTAAAAAATACAAAAATCATACCGTACGAGGAACTATGAGACCTGAGGCCAACTACAGTGTATGACCCCGACGTTCATTTTACTTGAATTCTGTCCGTTCATTTTACAGTGTATGAGACCTTTTCTAAGATGCATCGGCTGTGCACTCAACGCGCGGACGCATCTCCGGTATATCCGTTTTACCCCGAATGAACGCACCCGGACAGGCTCGCGCGCTGGAGTTGGCGTGGGACGCATTTTGTGACACCGATCGACCCAGGGATCCTCGATGAGCGTGCCCCCGAACGTTCGGATGCGCTTTATTACGGTCGACCGTCCACGTGCTGCGGCAAGGAGCCCGACGCTCCGTCGCTCCCACGGAGGACGAGATCCACGTGGGGCCCGGCGGCCTGGAAGTGCGGCACCGCCGTACCGCCATTATTATTCCAGATGACTGGGCCAGCGACCCCTTCTCCCCCACCCCAACGGTCGGAAAGAAGAGAATTGGCCGCCCGCGGGCCAACGGCAGGTCAATAGCCAGCGTAACGGCTCACACCGCCCGCAGAAAAGCCAAAGCCCTCCCCGGAGAAGACACACAGACGCAGAGCAGGAGCCAGCCCACCACAGCCGGAGCCACCCCTCCTCCCTCCCCCTCTCCCGCGGACCACATCGAGAACCACAGCGAGACTCACGAGCGCGGGCACGGGCGGGCGGGCGCGCGCCGGCGCGGAGGGGGGAGAGGATGGAGTCCATGGAGCCCATGGACATCGACTGGAGCAGGGTGGTGTCGCGCTTCGTGCGCGACGAGACCTACGAGGGCATCGAGGCGCCGCACTGGGCCGACCTCGCCGACCCCGATGCCCCCACCGCCGCCGTCGACGACGACGCCTGGTTCTGCCGCCCCGGTACGTACGCCGTCCGTCTCTTCGCTCCCGCTCCCGCTTCCTTCCCCGGCGCCCGCGTCTCCTATTGCTTGGTTGCTCCCCTCTCTCTCCCGCGAGGAGAGGAGAGGAGAGGATCGACACAGCGAGGAGCGAGGCGAACCTGCCTTGCCCGCTGCTGATTGGGTGCCGGGTTCCGTCCGATCGGCCGGTCCAAGAACGGACCCGCCCAGTTCTTGATCCGCGCAGCTTTCCTCTTGATTTGGGGCCTGATTTCGCCCTTCTTCTCTCTGTTCTCCAGAAATCCAGGCCGTGCTCCGCTTTCTGTTCCCGAGAAATTCCCCTTGTTATTGACTTGATTTCCCACGGCGTCCGTCGTCTTGACATCCATTTCCGTGCTGGATCCCCCGCAGATTGCAAGCATCCCAAGACGGCCGACGACTTCCTCGGGCACACCCCCAGCCCCAAGGCCAAGCTGCTGCGGTCAATGTCCGCCATGATGCCCTTCGGCGAGAGGGACGCCAACCTCAGGGACGCCAATAACAATCTGAAGAGACGAGGCGCCGTCGCCGCCGGCGGCGGCGGCACTGCCGCCTTCGCCTCGCCCACCAAGCCCAAGCCGCCGCCCAAGAAGAGGTTCCAGGACGACGCCGAGAACCAGGACCCCGCGCTGACCACGCCGCCCCCGGCGGCTGCCAGGCCGCCGTTCGGCGCGCAGCGGTGGGCCAAGAACGCCAAGGAGGCCATCAAGTCCAGCGCGGAGAAGCGGCCGGACGTCGCTGAGAAGGAGGCGCTGCTCGGCAGGAACCCGGCGCCGAGGCAGCTCAAGAGCACTCTCTCGGCCAGGAACCTCTTCTCCGGGAAGGACATACTTGGCCAGATATCGGATTTGTACAATGACCTCAAGCAGCGGATGGCCGGCGGTGGCGGCAACCAGCAGCCTGTCTCAGAGTCAGAGGCCATGGAGGAAATGAGCCCAAGACCAATGTAATTTTTCTCTCTGAAGCAACGCTGGGGTATCAATTTTGGGTTGGTACTTTCAGCTCATTGACATTCTCATGTGTGCAGGAACAGCAGTGGTGTGGTGGAGAAGGTGGATTGTAGCAGCGGCGGCGGTGGTCGGGTTCTGCCGGACGCAGCGAAGAGGGTGGCGAGGCAAGGAACAGCAGAAAAGAGTCCAAGCCCAATGTAACTTGCTTGTCACTACTTTGCAGAAGCGGCATTAGAGGATTGTAGGTTGAGGTACTGATCATAATGGTGGTTTGTGCAGGAAGGGAAAGAAGATTGGGTTGAAGGTGGAAGCAGGGAAGCCAAGATCACCCTCTGTGTTGAAAGAGGTGAAGGCAACACCGCCTACTCCACAGCGGTTTCCATCCCCCTATGTAAACCGTGTCAAGAGCGTGAAAGCTGCAGGCGCAACATCAAGCTCGCCACTCAAGAAGCCACTGAAGGTGACTTAATCTGGCATGCCAATAATATTGGTTATTGATCTATGTAGTGTTGGTGACTGTTAAACTTGAGAGTGTTTGCTCAGTGAATTTTCAGTATTTGTGGTTTCTACTAGCCTTTGTGAAAATACTCTATTTAAGAACATTCCAATCAGTCGAGCACTTGGCTCTTATCAGAAAATTTAGTGATCTGAATTATCATCAACATAGTTAATGGCTTAGACTCGGTTATAACCCTAAGCTAGAACTTCCCTTCCTCAAATGATATGTTTTTCCATAGGCTAGATATTGCGTACCCGAGTTTGATGCTGATATTGTTCTGTATCGATTTCTGAGTTCAAGATCTTTGAGAACTTCAGTGTCCATGCCTGTCAATAATCAGTGTCTCCTTATTATACATGTTCATAAGCTAAAATAATGTGCATTTTCTTCGTGTTTCCAACATAATTGACACTTCAGTGTAAGTTCCATTGTGCATAACTTGTGGTGTATATTTTGCCCATTCGGTCACTTCATCAGTAGCATGTTTGGTCTCATGTCGTCACTGTGACCTTTCTTAAGGGTGTTCGTTCAGGCATTCTTTTTTGTAAATTAGTGGCATCAGCATATCTGCATATGTGGCACTAATTCCATTGTGCATGACCGTGTACTGTAATTTTGTCAGCGACCCATTTATGATAAATGTTTGGCTCCATTTATACTTCACTTGATCAGTATCCTGTTTATCTCACCTTGTCATCGTGGCCTTTCTTAACGGTGTTCAGGCATTTTTTTCTGCAAATTAGTGGTAATCATTTACTGTTATGGTGAAAGAAAACCTATTGGTCTTCTATTGATGTTGTGAATCCGTAAATAGCATCTCAACACAAGCTAACCATGCATTTTAACTAGTGTTGATATCTACTGCCTTCTCTTCAGGATAAGGTGACGCCTAATAAGGATCAGGAGAACAGCAAAGATGCTAAGAGGCAACCTTTTGGGGTTAAAGATATGAACAACAACAGGGCTTATGAGACCGAAGAGAGCTCCAGTGGCGTGTTTTGGTTCTTGAAGCCCTGCACTTTCCTGGTGGAGTAGCAGCAAAATAATTCAGAGGCTTTAAAGCTACTGCAATTCATGTAGTTAGGATCGATTCTTTGTTTCAGTTTGAAATACCCCCCAGTTCCTCCTATTTGATTGATTCATCTGATGGACATTCTGTCAGGCAAATAAATAGAAAGCATATGTATAGTTACCAGTCAAGTCATACAAGTCGAGATATTAATAATTCCATGAGGACTTCAAGATATAGAGAGATGTTACTGCTCTTCTGCTAATTGGCTGTTTGAGCAAATGTACTGCAGATGATATTATTGTTCAAGATATAGAGAGATGTTACTGTTCTTCTTCATCTTAGTGAATGATATTATCCAATCCCAGTTATCTTACTGAATGCCTTGTTCTGGACTGTTTTCTTGCACTGATACTTAAAAGTCACGGAACCAATACACTTTGAGGCAGATACACAGTTGTCGTAAACCATTGTTGCCAATGGCTCCCTACAAACTTAGTCGACAGATGTAA